AGTAAATATTAACACAATAACGCCTTAAAATTATACCATGGGCTTAAGATTTAATCTTCTAATAATGAGGGCTTACCATGAGATATGTACTGCCAAGGCATTTTAAATATATGACCACATAAGTAATTCTCACTGTAGGCCTTTCTTGTAGGTTTGGTCATCTTTAATTCATATATGAGAAAATAGAGGCTCATAGCTGTTTAGTAACTTATTCAGAAGAGCATAGAGTCAGTATGTCCCTATACAAGAAACCAGATTCCAGAGCTAATTTAAAAAAAAATATTTTTATTGGTTTTAGAGGGGAAGGCAGAGGGAGAGAGATGGAAACATCAATGATGAATTGGCTGCTTCCTGCATTCCCCCTACTAGGGATCCAGCCCACAACACAACCCTGGCATGTGCCCTTGAGCAGAATCGAACCTGGGACCCTTCAGTCCACAGGCTGACACTCTATCCTGAGGCAAACCAGCTAGGGTCAGAGCTAGTTTTTTATTTATTTATTTATTTTTATTTTTTAAATTTTTTTTAATGCTACAACAAGATTCTTTTGTTTAAATTTTATTTTTCAATTACAGTTGACATTCAATATTATTTTATATTAGTTTCATGTGTTACAATGGGATTCTGAATGTATTAGTGGCCTTTGACTACTGAGTCATGGTTACCATTATTTTGTAGGAATATTCTTACTTTTTCCTGGAAGAAGCAAGGAAACTGATGCCATCATCTTCCCATCTTTATGATTTATAGTATATCTGCATTTAGAAGTAATCCTTTAAAAACTCACATGAGATTGGATGGGTAGACATTGCATAGGCCTCAGGAAAGACACTGACAGAATGGGTGGTATGAAGTGGGCAGAGGATTCATAAAACTGCTTCTCTGTAATTCTTGAAAGTGTGTGTCTTAAACCTAAATTCCAAGATGTAAGCATGCACATTACTAAAGTTTCCCAGCATCAGTGTCTTTTAAAGAACTTGACACAGAATGGTGGTGAGACTGCCAGCCTCTTCTCTCTTGACCCAGAGTTGGCTCTTGACTGTCTTGTAAGACCTTGGTGATGTTCAGAAATGAATGCATAAGTCAGATTTTAATTTCCTCTTCCTAACGTGTCATTATTGTTATTAATTATTATTGTACATTGAAGTCAGTTGCACCACAGCTGCTCCTACAATGTAAACTAGATTCTTAGCCCTTATGTAGGCAATCCAGCCTCCTTCTGCCATATTATACTTCTAGGAATACCTTCATTTCAGGGCAGCTTATTGGGCTTCCATAGTTTGGTTCCAGTTGAAAACCATAGGTTTTGCTACAATGCTGTTTGTTTTAAGAGCAGCAATTATTAAGTGTGTTCTCAAATCTGATAAAACCTTGGAAATAAACTATGTACTTTAGTTTATGAAGGAATGGAAAAATGCTTCACTTATCCTACTTAACTGTTCAATACTGGGCAAAAATTAGAAGCTTCATTTAAAACTGTCCCAGTTGAATTGTTGCTTCTTATATATTGGAGTGTAGATGTCCAGGGAACAACTGGATCTATAAGCCAGGCACTCTGGGGGAGAGATCAGATTTAGAGATAAATGTTAGGGAATTAATTGGCATATAAATACATTCTTAAAATTTTTTAAAATTGTGATAACACTTACCATTGGATCTATTCTTTTAACAAATATCAACTGTAACAACAGTGCATAAGGGTTCCCTTTTCTCCGTATTCTCAGCAGCACTTATAATTTGTAGATTTATTAATGATAACAATTCTGATAGATGTGAGCTGATACCAAATTATGCTTTTAATTTGTATTTCTCTTACAATTAGTAAATTAAGCATCTTTTCATATGTTCTATTGGCCTTCTGTATGTCCTTTTTGGAGAAGTGTCTATTCAAGTCTTCTTCCTCTTTTTTAATACAATACATTCATGGGTATAGTATTGCACAGTAGATCTCCAGAGTTTATTCATCTTATTCAAATGAAACTTTGTCTGTTGCTTAGTAATAACTCCCCACTTCTCCCCTCCCTCTGTTCCTGCTAACTAACACTCCACTCTGTGATTTTTAGCATTTAGATATTTTCTAATGGGCCACTCACTATCATAAAGAGAGAGGAAAATAAGGCAGAGCCTTGAACCTGGAACACTTATGGGAAACACATGGTTTCAAGATGCAATAAAATCACATTAAATAACACAAAAACCTTTAAAATATACACATAAAGGGAAGACATTAATTACCTAAATAATAATAATTAACATAAAACCATGCAAAGTATTCAGTACTTTTAAACTTAATTTTGGACCTAACAATTTCAAAACAGCAAGTTTTGCTGAAAATAATGCATTGGGTTAAATGCTTTTTATGCTTCTAATAGACTCTGCTCTCAACAGTCCATAAGAGGGACTACACGGGCCTCTTTTGTTTATGGGTTCTTCTGTTTGTGCTCTTTGTGGAACCTCCAGTATTTTAGATCTGGATAGGTAGCATTGGCTTGCGGGGTTAAAGGAAAATACAGGAAAGTAGAGGAAAGGAATTAAATAAGGCAAACCTTAAAAGAGCAAGGGGACTCATAGTCACACATACGAATATAAAAGAGGCAGTGGGAAGATATGAGAATTAATTTATGCATACTTGAAGGAAGCAATGTTAAAATTCATTTATTGGAACCTATACTTGATAGGGGGTGATCTGATTATAATGGGTCACATCTGTTGAAGATGGTCACATCTTTTCCCTGATGTATAAACATTGATTTTTAGGCAGTCCTATATTGGGTTGGAAACAATGCACCAAGTTCTCTTCTCTATTTTTCAAATTATTTTTCTCACGTTTCCAGACTCTTTTTCTGCCTGGTCTTCTCCATTAAAAACAAAACAAAACAAAACAAAACAAAACAAAACAAAACACAACCGCTTTGACCAATTTATATTATATTAAATAGATCATGTCTTTATTGATTGATTGATGATTTATTCATTCAACAAATACTTATTCAACACTTACTATGTCCTAGACACTGTTCTAGCCCTGAGAATGGAGTTATACATAAAATATATAAAAAATTCTGCCTTCATGGAATTGATATTCAATTTGGAAGAGAGAAGTAGTTAGTGAATAAATCAATATAATAAGGTACATTTATGTCAGATGGCGGTAGGTGCTATGGAACAAAAGGCAGAAAGAGCAAGGCAGTGGTGGAGTTGAATTTTAAATCAGGTCATCAGGGAAGTTATCAGTTAAGCAAAGATGGGGAGGTAAAGGAGAGAGCTGTGTACATATCTGGAGGAAATGCATTGTATTATCATTGCAAAAGTACTGGGCAGAAGGAAATGTATAACTCAGAGAAAGAAAATGTTAATAATAGCATTTCAGGTGACAATTAACGAGATGGTATTAGTGCAAAGACCTTTTTGGAGTCCTGCAAATCATGCCACGCCAGTGGATCCCCACACTGCCATGGGAAAGGCCAACTCAAAAGAGACACTTTGAGTGATTTCTTATAAAGGTAAAGGCTGTACTATGTGGCAGGTGACAGCCAAGGAATGGATCTGCTGTAAAGAGTTGAAGGTTCCCAGAAGTATGATAAGATGCCAGAAGACATTTGAACATCATCCAGAAAGGGAATAAAACCCCACCGGGATTTATCCTTTCACAGTCACTTTTCTAACCCTAAACTGGATTCCATCACCCATGTCTCTTTGGACCTTTCAATCTGTTCTAGGTCTGGGTGTTATTGATTCTCTGAGGGCCTAATAGTGATCCTATGTCCCCATAAATCAACTTGGATGATAAATGGCAGAGTTTAAGGACATCTATGTAGGTTGGTAGAAAAAGTGAGAAAGAATTAGGAGTGATTCTGATGTGATATGCTTACTCCTGGATCTTGAGCCCTTTTCTTTATAAACTCTGGGTAATTATGTCTCTGATGCCACAGTGAGGTGTTCAGTGCAGGCAGATTTCTTTGTTCTATGTAGTCCTTGCATCTTATGCTATATCTATCAATGCCATTTGTCTGAATGTCCCCGTTGGCTTCCCAGAATGCCTTGCCATTTGCTTAGTTGACTCATTCTTATAATCTAATCTCTAAGACAACTAAATGTCCCTAGGCAGGGTCACCATCTATGCTGTGCAGACTGTGCTATATACAGGGCATGTAACTGAGGGTGGAAGTAGGAGTTAAACTACATTCTAATGTTTGCTTGCCAAGCCATGTACCTTGTCATGGAGTAGAATCCAATCGGAAAAAGGTGTCTTTTTCTAATTTACCTGGACGAGACCTACGTTAGTCAAACTGTTCCACTGTGGCTGCATTCACCCAAAAGGTGAACATTTTCTAATTCCCGCAATGGAAACGTGGGGCTGGCACTGGCCCAGTTCCAGTTTTCAATGGCATGTCTTCAAAGAAAACCTCTCTTCCTCTATCGTTCTAAATACACAAGCAGGCATATCCAACAGGTCTCGTGCATCTGTATGGCTATATGCACGTATACATCCCTGGTCTGCAGTTAAGAAAAACTCATTCTGTTTCTCAAACTCTGTTTCATCAGTGCTCCAGGCTGTAATTATACTGTGAACAAGTCAAGGTTATTGCCCACCTACCTGCTTCAGAATGAGTGATTAACTATCAGTGAAGTAAAATCAGGTGTGGTTTATATTCCCTTTTTAATGTTTGACTAAATCTCAGGATTATAGAGATAGACAGGGTCTTGCAGGCCATCCTACCTGTAGGAAGTGCTTTATCTCAATCATTACAAAGATAATTAGTTACTTTCCACAGAGTCAAAAAGAAATGTGTTGCGAGTGAGGAACAGTGGCTGAGTCTGAAAGCCAAGCTCTGAGCAGTAGACATGAGGCAAGTGTGTTCCAGAAATAGCTGGGCCTGCTCCCATGGGAGTGAAGTGGGCTGTCTTTCCACTTTTGTGCTTATCTCATTGTTTTGGAGTTAAGAGCAAAGGCTTTGGAGCCAGAGTTCTAAGATTCAAATTTAAATTCTGCCTCCTACCTGCTGTATAAAACTGGACCAATTCCCTTAACTTCACTGTAATTCAGTTTTCTCATCACCAGTGTTAACACTTCTCCATCATCACCCATCATTGTCACCATCATAATCATCGTCATTGTCATCATCTAATTCTGGCTCCTGTTTTTTTCAGTGCTTTCCCCTACAGCTGGACACTGTGCTCCTTTTGTCTGTCGTTCTCTTCCCCCCTGTATATTACTGTGCCTGCCAAGTTATTCCCAAGCACCAGATTGGGCTTTCCTCCGTGTCTAGGTTCCTCCTGAGGAGACATCCTGTATGTCACCTGGATACAGGCTGTTTCAATTCAATGGGATCCAAAGTTAACAGACTGTGTTCCCTACAGGAGGAGAGAGTAAGGGCTTTAATGTGCTCAAAAAAGAAATGCATAAAAAAGAAAATATTATCCTAATAGTCTTTGTGTGAATTTACTTAGATTAGGCTTTAAAGAGAATGTATAGCCTTAACATTCTTCATGAAAATGGTAGCTGTCATTTCTGAAAATAGAGTGTACACTAAGTACAAGGATGGATTTTTTTAAAAATACAAATATCCTAGCAAACATGTGAGATGGGTATTGTGATGACAGGATATGAGGGAACGGAAACACACAATAATAACAGATTTATAGAGGGCAGTGCTTTCTCTGACACCATTTTCTTCCATATATCGGTTTGCTCATTTTTCCTGGCCTCCAGGTGCCCAAAGGATGTGTAGGAAGCATAACTTAGTCATAAATGGTAAAGGCAGCACTTTTCAGTTAACGCACTTAATTATTTTCTCATTACGAGAGTGATCTATAATGAATAAACAAAATTTTGAAACAACAGATAACTAACATGCCAACATTTATGCTGATCTGATAAGTGGCAGTCAAGGCTAAGTCTTCCCCGGGAACCTATGCTCTCAACCACAGTTTTGTATGAAATCATTTCCCTGTGCTGGTCTCCTTTGGCTGACTCACACACCAGGTCAAAGTCATTATTATCTACCACACTGGCACATCTCAGTCCAGAGCATTTGCTTGTTTTGCACTGCTCCATCTGTCTTTAGCATAGGTTAATAGTATGGAACTTTTCTTGGCCAAATAGCGAATTTTGGGGATAGTAGCATCCTCATCCTAGCAAATGTAACTGGAAAAGCCAGTGGGGCAAATGGAATTGACGTTCGTACATGGTACATTGGCTCCTTTTAAAGAATATCTACTGATCTGTTAAGTCGTGTCTAGTTGATGGCAATACTGTCACCTCATTTGCACATTGGTAAAATTTTTGCATATAAGTTAGCCAGGGTAGTTCCTAGGTCATTTCTCCCTTTACTTGCAGTTTTCCAAACTTTACTCCTGCTAACAGGGGCTGTTTTTATTTTGAGAATTATACTTTAAGATGATGCTGGATGAATATAACATTACATTTAGTTGTCTTGGTGAATATTGTTTTCTTCTCATTTTAATTAGATTCAATATAAGCCCTATAAAGTGAAAGAGAAAATGCATATTGGGGCTTCAGACACTTTAGGCTAGATCAGTGGTTGGCAAACTGAGGCTCGTGAGCCACATGAAGCTCTTTGGCCCCTTGAGTGTGGCTCTTCTACAAAATACCATGGCATGGGCGAGTCTATTTTGAAGAAGTGGCATTAGAAGATGTTTAAGTTTAAAAAATTTGGCTCTCAAATTTCAATTGTACTGTTGATATTTGGCTCTGTTGACTAATGAGTTTGCTGACCACTGGGCTGGATGATAACTAAAGACTTTTCCATCTATCAGGCTCCTTAAAACTTTTCATGAGTCACAACAATGAGAGACATTTCAGGACATGGGATCATGTTAACAAAAAACATTTTTTTTTTGCAAAAATCTGGTAGATTACAGGAAATGTTGCTAATTAATTTTCTCCCAGTGCAGAAAGTAGAATTTTGTGAAGTTCAGCAATTGATGACTGTCAGGTAGTATTCATGACATACATGAAATCATAAGGGAAACAGACATCAGAATGAGATAAAGTTGGAAATTAGGCTTATTTCTCATGCTTGAGGTGGAATAAAGTAGAATAAGTTTCTCTGCCACAAACATGTTTAGAGAAATCTCCAGTTACAATTTGTGGCTTATAAAATAATATTGCACTTATTTCCTCTACACTGTGAGTCTGACCAGGATGGGGACAGAAATAATGACTGTCCAATTGCGTGTCATGGTGGTGCTTCTTTGAGGGATAGGGTGGGGCAGGTATAAGAGGAAGTGCCCTGGTGGTGGAGCCAGGAAGACTTGCTTTGATTTGTGGTTATCCCTCTCACTCATGTGTGACTTAATTCATATTATTCAATTTTTTTGAGCTTATATTTTCTCATCTATAAACTGGAAATAATAAAATGCTCCTCAGAGGTTTGCTGTAAATATTAATTTTTAATGCATGTGTAATGCCTATTGCTCAATAAATCTAGGTCCACAGTCTCATATCCAAAATTTTGAAATCCAAAAAGTTGTGAAAATTGTTGTCTTGAAACCTTCTTGGCAAACTTCAACTGTTTAATCATATTTCACTTGGCAGAAAAGTTTTTACTGATCCTGTGAGCTATTTGTACTCTTTATCCTACTCAATGTGAATATTTATAGGTTTTGCTATATAAATATAAGTGTTTATTTGTGCTGTCTCAGATCCTTCTAGGGGAGTTACATAATGTGCAATTTTATATTGTTCTAAAAATTAAACATTCTGAATTCTGAAATATACATGGCCCAAAGGATTTCTAATGAGGGATTTAGGCCTATATTTCTTCCCTGCTTTCAAAATGAATGAATATTAAACATTTTTTGTACTGGTTCATTTTAGTTTATATTACACTTGGTCATTTAAATAAAATCATTTTATTATTTTTTAAAGATTTTTTGGGAGAAGGGATATTTTCACATTTTCTGAACTAAGATTTATGTTTATAAACAGGTAACTTCCTTACAGTGTAGACTTAACAAAAACCTTACGACATAGACCCCAGTAAGACTATGATAAGATAAAAATTATTCCAAACTGGTTTAATTGAGTTCAACTGAGTTAAAAGAAGTTCTTGTACACTTTATTGAATACCTGTTAAGAAGAGTTGAATCCCAAGAAACATGTGTGAATTGTAGGATAAATAACATAGATGGAGGAATAAAATATAATTGGTTTTTTCAAGATCTTTCAACTGGACATCTTTTCTAAAAAGCACAATTTCCACAGGGTTTGAACATGCTTGGCTCAGCTTTTGGTCTCTTTTGTGGAAAAGTTGCATCTGTTCTTAAAAAAGGCAAATCAGGTACGCTTTTGGTTCTTAACTGCTCTCTCACACCTAGACATTATAATTCTTACACTTAGCCTTGAGTTCCTGTATTTACTGCTGGGAATTGTGGAGGCCTAAGAAACTTATAAATATGTATATACTCTACAAAGGTGGGAGACAGGCTCTATCCATGGTATGGAAGCAGGAACCACCAAAAGCAGGAACCACCTGCTAAGCGGTAACAAAACCGCATGGGTCAATTGCCTGAAGTGCCAGGAGCTCATTTAAAACAGATTCCAGGTTTAATTGAGCCTGTATCAAACAGATAATCCTGTATATAGAGAGAATGTTTTTATAGCTTAAGATTTGCAAGAGAGACTATCAGTAGTACTCCATATACAGTATGTAGTGAACAGACCAGTGTAATTCACAAAGTGAAATTATTTTATAGGCTACATAGTCACTGGGTAAAAACTAAAGTAATTTATTTAATTATCCTTTGGAAGAATCTCTCATGATTTTTATGAATGCAATGGAACCACTGAAAAGCCGAAGGAAAAATATAAAATTAGCTTCCATGAAAGTTGACTTATTAATTTTCTCTTCATGTAGAAATGTGTTTTATGGTGTTTAGAACAATGTAATTTCAGAAGTAGGGAAACTGTCTTGAGTTATAAAAGGAAGCAAGCAGCATTTGGATCAGAGAAAACATGTTCTGAACCTTTGAAGAGATGAAGAGTCGGGGGAGGTACAAGAGGGTATAGGGAGGATAAATGGTGATGAGAGGATACTTGAATTGGTGGGATGAACACACATGCAATGTACAGATATATAGGATTCAGGAATTGTATACCTGAATCGTATATAATTTTGTTAGCCAATGTTACCCTAGTAAATTCAATAAAAAAGAAGAAGAACAACAAAAAGAACTCATAGAAACAGAAGAACAGTGGTTGCCAAGGACTGGACGGTGGGAGAAATGGGGAGTTGTTGGTCAAAGGGTACAAACTTTCACTTATATGGTGAATAAATTCTGGGGGTCTAGTATATAACCTGGTGACTCTAGTTAATAATTATTGTATATTTAAAAGTTGCTAAGAACAGAACTTCATTGTTCTCACTATAGCAGCAACAAAATGGTAATTATGTGAGATGAAGGGTGTAACTGACCTTATTGTGGTAAACATTTTGCAAGATATGCATGCATCAAATCATCACATGGTATACCTTAGGCTTACAATGTTATATGTCAATTATACCTCAATAAAGCAGAAAAAAAGTGAGAGGTGAGGGATTTAGCTTCTCAGACCACTTTGGTACAATTCTCTTCTAAGATGGAGAAATGTATATGGTTAGCCCAGCCAGCATGGCTTAGTGGTTGAGCTTCAACCTATGAACCAGGAGGTCACTGATCCGCTGCCTCCTACAATGCCCCATACTGGGGATCGAGCCCACAACCAGGGCATGTGTCCTGACCAGGAATCAAACCATGACCTCTTGTTCTTATGTCAATGCTCAACCACTGAGCCACACTTGCTGGGCACATTGTTTTGTTTTGTTTTGTTTTGTTTTGTTTTGTTTTGTTTTTATCAGAGGCCCCACTTTCCTAGGTTAAATGTGCTCCCTGTGGTATTAAAAAAAATGGAAAAATTTTTGCTTGCATAACTAATACAGATGAGTCTGGTGCCACATTCTTCCTGGTCCTAGGTGCTTCTTCACCTCTGCCAGAAGTAGTAGTCAGACCCCACCTCATGCTTCTTAAAATGCTTCTAGCTCGTTGGTTGACACCTGTGCCAGTAAAGCCACTTAACAACTTATACAAACTGGTTTGAGCCCCTTGTAGGAT